CTCGATCCTGAGATACCCATGGTACGGAGAATGCGGTAACACTCATCAAGGAATCCCAGAGCATCCTCCGATGCTAGACCACTGAATACAGGAGGCTTGTACTTCTTGAATCTCTCAAGCCTCAACTGCTCATCCTCGGAAGCAGCTGCCCTGTCCTCGGGCTGAGCTGGCACTGCAGGCGGTACAGGAATAATCTCAGGGACCTGCTCAACATGCACTCGCTGCTCAGGAGTGCTGGCGGCGGGAGTCTGTGCTCCTCCCCCGGCCTAAGATGTAGCTGCAGCAATGGGAAGCAACCCTGCATGAGCCAAAGTGGTGTACATACTCATGAACTGTGCCAAAGTCTGCTGAAGTGCTGGAATATTAGTAGCAGTAGGCGTATTAGGTGTCTGGACTCCGTCTGGAACTGCTGGTGGTAACTCGGCGGCAGCTCGCGCAGGTGCTCTGGCTGCATCACGTGCGCGTCCTCGGCCTCTACTCCGGCCCCAACTTCTAACGACTCTCGCAGGGGCGCGGGTGCCGAATCATTTCAGGTAGCACGTGTCCTCACCATCGGTGAGAGAATATAAGATAAAAGTTCAGAATTCGTGATGTCAAAAATCTCGCACGACAGGGAAATCAAATGAAATGGAATTTTCCTAACGGTTACGTAGCCTCTCGTAGATAAGTATAGACGTCTCCGTACCGATCAACGAGACTCTAATAAACCGGCTTGTAATCCATGACTCCTATGAACCTAGGGCTCTGATACCAACTTGTCACGACCCTAATTCGCCCTCCATGAACCATCGTGACGGCACCTAGTCTCTACGACTAGGTAAGCCTAATTTGCGAAAGAAAACTAAAACTTGCGGAAGTAAACAATTTAAAATGGAAACAAAGCAGTAACAGTGTATAAATGTNTCCCGTAGTCCAACTATCAATGCGCGGGGATCTACCGGAATCCCGATCCGTAGTCCCAAATGTAAATACCCAGTATTGTGGGAATCTACCTGGTGCATTCCCGTAGTTCCATATAACTGTGCAAGGGGATCTACCGGGAATCTAACCCGTAGTCCCAAAGTAAATGTGCAGGGGATCTACCGGGAATCTAACCCGTAGTCCCAAAGTAAACAGACAAGGGGGAGCTACCGGAATCCCACATCCGTAGTCCCAAAATAAATACACAGCAACAGCAGGAAGATATCCAGAAATGACAAAATTTCATATTAAGGCAACAAGTGATTTTAGCCTAGCATGCTGCACATAATTCAAGTAGGGCAGGTTGAAGAAAATAAAGCAAATTAAGTCACTTAGACATGTTTTCCTAAGCTAACAATAGGCTTAATAGTGCAAGAAATAGAAACAAGAAAGGAAACATACTAGTAATTACTTAAGAAAACCGAATTTCCAACAATTAGCACAAGTACGCACTCGTCAACTTACGTACAAGGCATTTCAATTACCAAATATATCAACCCAACACCACGTCTTTGCCACAAGTACTCGACTCCAAAGAGTCCAAATCTATTCAATTCGATTGCATAATGTAAATAACACTTCAAGTAACTGATTCTACAATTAAATTCTAAGCTAATACGCGAAATTATGTAAAATGACCAAAACGCCCCTCGGGCACACATCTCGAAATCAGGTAAAATTTACATTTTCAGAATCCTCATACCCTCACGAGTCTATCCATACCAAAATTATCCAATTCCGATACCATTTGGTCCTTCAAATCATCATTTTACATTTTTGAAAGATTTCACAAGTTTTCTTCCCAAATTCCATCCCAAATCATGAATTAAATGATGAATTCAATGATGCATTCATGTACTCTTGCCAAATCTGAGTTAGAATCACTTACCCCGATGAATTTCTTGAAAAATTTTCGAAAAATCGCCAAAATCCGAGCTCTCTAGCTCAAAATATGAAATAAAACCCAAAACCTCGTATTTATAGGGCACCCCCCCGGATTTCCACCTCTGCAGACCGCACAAAAACGATCGCGGTCCGCACAAAACCAGTGCGGTCTGCACAGATTTTGACTGCAGTGACAGACTTTAGTATTTTGGCCATAACTTTCGCTACAGATGTCCAAATTGTGATTTCTTTACCTTTCTGGAAACTAGACACGAAGGGCTACAACTTTCGTTTTTGAATCATCCCAAAATTCCTTGTAGATCAAAAGATATGAGCTTCCGAAGTAGGGCCAGTAAAATTTTCCTCACCGCGGACCGCACTTCATTTTGTGCGGTCGCACAGCCCCCACCGCAGATGCACTGGACTTTGTGTGGACCGCACTGGTGGGTTCCGAGGCCTGCAACTCTTTTGGACCTGCAACAGCTATGATTTTTGGCCTAAAACATCCCGGAACCTACCCGGAACTCACCCGAGTCTCCGGGACTTCAAACCAATTGTGCCAACACATCCATGACATCGTTCAAACTTGTTCAAAACTTCGGAACGCTCACAACAACATCAAATCACCAATTTAACATAGGATTCAAGCCTAAGAACTCCAAGAACTCTTAACTTATGCTTTCGATCAAAAAGTCTATCAAATCTCGTCAGAACGACCTAAAATTTTGCAAGCGCGTCACATTCAACACTACAGAGCTACTCCAGTTTTCAGAATTCCATTCCGACCCTTAGATCAAAATCTCACTATCGGACCGGAAACTTCAAAAATTTGACTCTCGCCATTTCAAGCCTAAATTAGCTACGGACCTCCAAAACACAATCCGATCACGCCCCTAAACCCGAAATCACCCAACGGAGCTAACAGAAATTCCGAGGCCGGCTTCACACTGTTCCGACTACGGTCAACTTTCCAACACTTAAACTCTCATTTAGGGACTAAGTGTCCCAAAACTCCCCGAAACTCAAAACCGAACATCTCGGCAACTCACATTAGCAGAAATAAACTTGGGGAAAGCAGTTAATAGGGGATCGGGGCGTTAATTCTTAAGACGACCGGCCGGTCGTCATACTTTTTGCTTCATAGAGTAAATAAGGTTGTATGCTAGATTGATACGGTAATGGAACCTCCCTCTAATTGTCTAACGTTCTGCTATAACATCCAAAGCAACCGCCAATAATCTATTGAGGAAGATATGAACACTTTACTTTGAGCCAAAGCAATAAATACCCATGGCATGCATTTTTCTTGTTACATAAAAATGTACCTAATCAGCTATCAAATTGTTTAAGAATGATCAGACATGATGGACACTATCTTCTTTCCCTTCTGACTCTTTCTTTATTCTCTTGGAACAGAGCTGAATTGTTTCTCTTACTCTATCACATCCTATTCTGATAGAGATGAACAGACTCTTCCCTTCCATTCCTTTGGTGGCTGAAGAGGATTCATCATTCTTGCGGTCAACTAATCTAATCGGATCAGTGGTTGATGTGGTTGTGGATAAAGCAACTCTCAGAGACAAAGCAACAGAAGATAGTGTCTTGAAAGCAATTGACAAAGGGGGAAAGGATGCCTGTACTTTTGGGCCAAAGCCAGCCACATACTGGGTAAGTTGAGATCGACTTTAGAGCAGTATTCACTAACTTTCACGGATAAAATATTCATCTCTCTGAAACCTTCACATTAAGGGGGGAATTCCTCGGAAAGGGAACAACAGATTTTCTAATTCCACTTTGGGGGATACACCTTTTCATTTTGTTTTTCTGACATGTACATTTAGTTATTGGTATCTTTTTAATATTTGAGAAGTCATTGAAAGGCAAATAGATATACTTTTGCTTCTATGACAAGGAAAAACAAGTATCAGACCGTCCGAATAAACAACTATCATGCTGTCAAGAGGAAGGAAGCAGAAGATTTACATGGCCTTTGATAGTCCCTATTTCGTGATATATACTGCCTCCTTTTAATTCTCAGATACCAGATAATGTCCTGTACTTCCATGCACAAATGCCAACAGTTATTTGCTAATATTAGTACACTAAGATATTAAGGGCTTATAGTTCAATTAATTTGATGTGGAAAGTGCTTTTTCTAGTCTGATGGTGTCTATACTCTGGATGATTTTTTATGCTCAAGAAAAAGACATCTTAGCTTCCGTACTAATGAAATGTAACAGAACCTGAATTTGTGATTGCATTTTACTATCACGAGGTTGCGGACTATTTTGTAAAATTTCATGGACCTGGTACAGGTACTAGATCCCATTGATGGGACACGAGGGTTTGTTAAAGGTGTTGAAGCTCTCTATGTGGTATGTCCTTAATCTCTATTTTTCTCTTACTATTCTTTCTTTAGCGTCTTTAATATGTTCTTTTTACTTCCCAACCAACATAAAAACAAGGAGGAGAGGAATTTCAATGAAGAGAACAGCTTAACATGTGAGGTTGTTTTCCATGGCAATGGCTAAAGGTAGCAAGTAATAGCCGTGTGGGATTATCTCCAAATCAGTCTCTTCCTTTTGCCCATTGTGCTCGTTGGCCATTATTTCTTGTCTTGCTGAGGTTGAGAGACACGATTTTCTGAGTAAGCCACTTAGATACAATGAACTTTCAAGGAATTAGCAGTATTGTTTAAATATTAACAGCTTTATGCATCTTCCTCAATCCCTCGTGGAGCACCAATACTAGCCTTCAGCTGTCAGTGGGTCAGGAAATCTGCTCTCTATACTTGTATAATCACTCCAACTGATTTTGCTCTATAGTCAGTTAAGTTCAGATTTGTTGCAGCAGAAATCTTGATTTGGTCAAGCTTTCTTGAGGATGATAATATAATGATGAGAATTTGAGCTATCACCTT